ACTGTTGGAGCGAGATGGAGAACAAGATGGAGAAACACAACTATGCCTAGTTCTATTGTTATTGATCCTATGAAGAGGTTGTTTTTTGGCCCAAAAATCTGTTTATGTCGCAAAGTAGAGCTGCTTGAAAGTCATACATCAGGGAACTAGAGAGACTGATTGATGCTTGGAACAGTAACTCATAGATCTTTCATGATATTTCTTTGAAACTTGCTATGATCATGCCTGGTCTTCTCTTACAAAAACCAAGTTTCAAATCGAGATCGAAAGACCATGAGACTTGTCTGTCTCGGCCCATGGCTTTGTGGCAATAAGGGAACTTCAATGCATTACTTTGGGAATGCACAACCATCCAGTCCACACTACTAGCCACTAGGAAGGTTTCAGTTGAACAGCTTTCCAAGACCTTTGCTAGCCTCATGTTTCGTGGCAAAGTGAACGCAGCTCTGCATTTGTTGGATGAACAATCATCTATCTGGTGGAGTTCTTCCTAATGATGTTGTGTACAAGGAACTCTTGCAGAAACATCCACCTGCACAACCTCAGGACCATTTCATCATAATTAATATTAAAATTCTGTATGTCGATCCATCGCCATAGCAAAAGTAGCATTGGAGACTCAAGGTGCTGCTGGTCCTTCACATCTTGATGCACTTGGATGGTGACATATCTTGGCTACAACACAGTATAAAAATTTTCATAATACAAAATTTTCACAATACTAGTCATTAAAACAATATGATAAAATTAAACTAATACTCAACTGATACTAAACTGAGAAAATTATAGTATCATCTAATTCTTACCAGAATGCATAGCAAAAAGTAGTTTTGTGGCTCTATTGAGATCTGAGACTATTATAGCTGTATGTCTTCCAACTATTCACTCAATCCAAAGTCCAAATCTGAATTTGCAAAACATCGATACAATATAAATTGCAATCCAAACTGTTCAAGCTCAAGCTCCGATCCAAGCTCAAGTTCTTATCAAGGCTCTACATCAACAGCCGGCAAAGTCAAGTCTTTCACAATATCGAAAGGTAAAAGGAACTGAGTGGAACAAAAAGGTAAAAAAAAAGACAAGACAGAAGATGTAATAATCTTCATTTGACTACTCTAATGGCAAAAACTGGATGGTAAATTAAAGCCAGCTAGAGGGAAAAGGATCGCTCTAAGAGTATCAAACCAATGACCATATGCTGAGATATGTTCTCAGGCCTTGTCAAAGTGGAAAGCATATGAAAGTAATATTTACGAAGAAGAAAAAGAATACAGTTTAGCTTATGAAGATGGAAGCCAGGCTTTGTTCCTGCTGGTACTAAAGATTTCTTCACTCTTAAGCGACACAAGGAAGAAACACAAAAAGACTACAAATGGATTGTTTTGTAGTTATGCACAAACAATGATGTGACAAGGAGTGAAAGTTTCGAAGAGAACTCTGATGGTGAATTGCTCAAAGCTCAGAGCATTCCAGAAAAAAAGCGAAACTCCAAATGTTAAACAATGAACAGCTTGCTGTAGATATGCAGCCACAATTCAACAACGAGTGTGACAATTCTATGAACACTTGGAGTGATGATGATCTTCCTCCTCCTGCAGAAAGTGGAACGGAAAGACAGCAAGGTGAAAACGATTCCTGGACCTGCAACATCCAAAATGAACCTGCAAGCACATCTGATACAGCAGAGATACAGGAAAACGATAGCCCAAACGATGTCCAAGATGATTCTATGCGCACACATGATCAAGCCAACCACGAAAGTAGCTCCGAAGTAGTGTAATGGTTTCCTTTGCTGGTGAGATGTGGATTGACAGCAGAGCTTTGGCGAAATAATTTTTCACATCAACAATATCTGAAATAGGAAAAATAATTTTTCCAAATGGCAGTTACTACACCTTTTACGCAATGAAAAGCACGTGTAGTATCACGTGACATTTATATGTAAACAAAGCGTGATGTTCGGACAATGATAGCGCGCGCAATATTTAAATATCGAACTATGGTTGCTACAAAAAGATGTGCTTGGGGTACGTGCAAAAACGACTCTCGTTACCCTGAACGTATGCAAAAAAATGTAGAAGGTGATCCTGTGACATTTTTCCACTTTCCTGGAGCGAAGAGATGTCCAGAAAGGAGAAAACGGTGGATTGAAGCATGTAAACGTGGCGACTCATTCAATTGTAACAAGGATAGTTACGTTTGCAGTGTTCACTTTGTGGGTGAAAATGGGCCCACAAAAGAAAACCCTGATCCTATATCTGCAACAACAAGTAAAGAAAAGGTTAGTAACAACAATATTATCTTAAGTATGATGAGATTTTAGCCCACATTTTGTGTTTATTATCGACTGTTTGTTTACATACGCAGCAGGGCATGATGAACCGTAAACGAAAAATCCCTGTAGCCAGACAGAAGCCTGTGAAGAAACCTCGTCGAAGTGATGTAAAATCTGCTGCAAATTCGCTGCTAATGCTAGCCCAAGCACCGACGAATTGTTACAAGACCGACACCGAACTTAATGTCGCTGAGATATTGTTGTCGTTTAGTGCAAATAGTGCGACTGTTGGCCCTTGCAGCAATCTGCGCAGCGACAAATCCAACAACGAAGATCATCCTAGCATCGACGAAATTTCTAACGTAGAAACATTTGTAGACGACAAGATTGAACAATCAGTTGTTTGTAGTACGCAGGTGAGCTGATAAAAGCAGTACTGAATGTTTTGCGCGTGAATTTCGGTGATAGCGTTCACATTTATGTTTAGAACAACATTGAGCTTTGCCATTTGAACCCATATCAAGACAAAATGTTGGTAGACAGTGCTGACATGCATAAGCATCTTTTCCTAGCTAAAGTCGACGATCCAAAAAAAACGATGCACTATACAGGTGAGTAGTTAGTTTTATTTTAAAACAAGCTGTGTGACGTGATTTGTTACAACTATTTAATATCTTTGCAGGCATGAGCAAGGAATGCCTTGATACAATTTTAAATGAGATCTTAAAACAAAAAGCAAAACGAATTCACTATTGGAGGGGTAAAAAGAGAACGAAGTTGACGACCAGGCAAGGATTGAATTTCCAACGTCACTTCATGGTATAAAGAACCTCAGAGCTATCATTGATTGCACTGAATTGCATGTAGAGAAACCTTCGAGACCACACTGCCAAAGAACCACCTACAGCCAGTACAAGTCCACCAATACCTTTAAGTTGTTGATCTCAATGTCTCCTTTACCTCATCTTAATTTTGTTTCAAGACTCTTCACTGCCAGTATTAGTGATAAAGAAATCGTAAAAGAAAGTGGTTTTTTGGATCATCTTGAAGCAGGTGATGTGGTGATGGCCGACAAAGGTTTTAATATTCAAGACCTGGTAGCACTCAAAGAAGCAAAGCTTTTGGCCCCACCTCTCTTAAGGAAAGGAAATGTGTCTGCTGTAACAACTCAAACTTGACGTGTGGCCACAATAAGAGTACATATTGAAAGAATTATCAGAAAACTAAAATGTTTTACTATTCTGAAAGGTGCTTTCCCTTTAACAATGAAGCCTCATGTAAACTCAATAATTGCTGTTTGTGCTGCATTAGTAAATTTGCAGCCCAGTTGTATAAACAAGGAGGGAGAATACAGTAGACTTGAGCTGTAAATTATTTTCTATGTTTTGCCAATAAACTCAGTCCTGTAAGTTGGTTTCTAATCCTGGTCCTATTTTCTTCAGCTTCATTTTCTGTGAACCAACAATGAGTCAATTTGACATACTCATCACGATTTTCCTCATATTTTTCAATGTCCTGTAATTAGAGCAAGCACTTTTTGTAGAGTAATGGAAAACTATTCAATTGACATATTGAATACTATTTACCTTTTCAAAGCTACTGAGAAACATTGCTATGTAAATCCCACAGTTGTTAGTATGAGGATCCTGCTTTGGAACCTATATAATAGACAAAAAATGGTTGCATCTAAAAGAACACTGAACACAGGTTAAACCTAATACACTTTTGGAAATACAAGATATATACCACATATATATCACAAACCTTTAGAACATGGCATTTCAAACTTGTGCATCTATTGGGATTCCCTGATATATTAGACATATGATCTAGATAACTATATAAAAAGAAGACACATGAATACAATATTAATTGCATGTGCACAACTATATTGGCCTCAACAAACCCACCTGATTAAATACTTCATTTCAGCTCTTTTGCTAGAAATTTCCCAGGATAAAGAGTCCAAAAAACGCACATGCCTGTAAAATGTAATACAACATTATTATAAGTAATTACCACTTAATTACAGACAAAATGTATAATACTGCACATAATACCATGGGGTTATGATGGCTAGTAACCAGTGTAGCCTGAAAGTAAATGAATATATAGTTCATTTAGGATAGAGCAATTTTCTACTGTAGATTACATTTAAATTAAGTAATCATCAGGTTGTTTCATACCTCCTGTTGATTGGAATTACTATGTAGTCATTTTTCAAAATATCTGCCTTGAAAAATGGTTGGGCTGATAGGATTTGTTCAGACCTACATTACATAAAACATAATCTGATACCAGATAGACATGTATATGCATGGTCATGACCAATTTAATAATAAATACTTGTGCATGCATGCAGTAATTGAGAAATACCTGCTTGTTGCTTTTCTTACATCTTGCTCCCCACAAAGAACAGAATAAAAAAGAGAATCGATGACTGGGAATGGACAGGCAAGTTCTCTACAGTAAGAAGTGTTTTTTTTTGTGATATTAATTTAACCAGTTCTGTGTATGAATTTTACATGAAGTGAATATCACAAGCTTTTATACACTTACTCAAATAAGACAGTTACAACTGTGTCATTAAGCATCATTCCTGGCTCGAGGGTTGTAATATCTTGCTCATACACTTCAATCCGTGAAATTTGAATGATGTTGTTGTAGTGGAATTGTTCCCATCACAATCCATAACTTCCATATTGCAAGGTTCATTGCAAGGTAATTAGGTTACCATAGGGGAAACTAAATAAATATAGATAACATAGAATGTATTTGTGATCACTTAGTTAGTAAACCACTATGTAGCTGAACAACTAATTGTCATTTAATTAAGCACAGTGCACTGCACTCACTCACCTGAATGCTCATTGTTGTTTGTAACTCTAGGTGCAGTTTCTTTGTTTGTATCTAGATTGTCCCCAGTTACTGTGTTAGCAACTACACAAGCAACAGAACAAACATAAATTTCACAATTTGAAATACAATCTGAAATTGTAACTCTATGATATATATTGACAAATAAACATAATTACCATTCAAGTTTGAGTCTGCCATCATACAAGGGAGAACTTCTGCTTTCCAAAATAGTTCCAACTGATTGCAAACATGATCCATAAATGCAGCATCATATGATACTGGCAGAACAAAAATTCCTTGACTTGTCCAAACAACAAAGTCACAATGAAAAAGCTCAGAAACAAACATTTGTGCCTGAATCTGGTGATAGTATGCACTGCTTTTGGTAAGACAGAAGGTCTTATCTTTTTCAATACCACCAATTTCTGGTGTCAAAAACGTTTTTTTGGGATGCATATCTTTGTGCTTCCATGGACATTTATATTCGACAACAACATCTGGACAATTACTGGCACACTGGCATGTCTTTATGTTGTCGAGACTGGCACCAAGAAATTTTCTCTTCTTTGAAATGAGAAAGCCTTTAGACACTAACTTTATGTTGTGGTGTTTGTGCCTTTCAACTCGTAAGTAAGCATCCCTTGCACTTGTCTCATGAACTAACCCCCATGTTAATGAGTTGTGTTGTTGTTGTGGCAGAACAATGTTTGGTGGCACTTTGGGATTTGTAATCATGTTTACCAGACAGCTGACATCTGTCTTCTTTGGTCTGTTCTTCTCAATAGTTGCCTATCTGGTAACAACACGCTTAACTTTCGATGCTGAAATGAAACTAGCTTTTTCACAATACCATTCTTTGCACTGGAATGTTTTACAGTAGCCTGGTTGATATCATCAATCTCCTTGTCTGTGAATGATAACTTTTCAAAAAAAAATTTTCTATGGCATGCTTGTTGCTTTCCATGCAAATAGAAATTTTACGTTTTATGATCCCATCACTTGAACTGGTACCACTTGTACTCTTGTCACCATTTTCAATGGTCAATAGTGTTGGAGATTTTTTTGGTGCGCAGTATCGTTTCTGGAGTACTGGCAGAATGGTAGGACGTTGTTTCATTAGTTTCATCAATCCGGTAAGTCTTCTCAGCTTTCTTTTCTTTATGGGCTTTTGGTCCTTATGAGCTCTTACATCCACGTCAATGTTTTGAGAATATGCGTGGTCCCTCTTCCTCAGTTTGTACGAAGGTAATTTTGGTTTTTCAATCACTAGGTCAGATACTTCGCATGCTTTCGTACTAGCGCTAGCTTTCTTGACCCACACACAACTGCCACTTGTCACGCTATCTTTACTTCGTGTGTTCAGCACCTCTTCCAGCGAATACATGACCGCCCCGATGTGTTTACATCCCCCATCACGGCCTCCTTTGCACATACACTTCGCCTTCAAAACGCTACCTCGGTTGGGACCATGACCTTCCAAGATAAACCAAAGATCGTAGCAAGGTTTTCCATCATCAGTTTTCACCTTCATAGCTGGTCGCACCTTAGCTACATAGACATGAAGCCTTTCATTGTTCAATGTTTTAGTCATTAACGATTCTACATGGCCATCTTCAAATAGACTGTAGTCGTCGAAGGATTTGTACGCAGCTAGACCTTGCTTATCGTACGCAGTCGAATGGAAAATCAAATAGTTGAATATGTTGTACAAACCGAAAGATGGAGAGTCGATGAAGTTATTCATCACAGACATTTTAAAGGGGTTTTCGATTTCCATATCATTAATACTCAAACGTTCATCGTTTGCAGCACCATTCTTTCGATCGTTTGTTAAGGTTGGAAGTAGAGGAATACACATTCTTTCAACCGCAGCACCTATCTTGATCAGCGTAATTTTATCATACCCAGTTACACTGACTCCTCTTGCAAGTAGAAAATTTTTAATTTGAACTACGGTCATCTTTTTAAAGACATCGGACTCGCGAGTAGCATCCATAATCCGGACAAAGCACTAACGAAACAACTTTATATATGAATATTATGCGAATATATATTCAGGGTTTCTATACGATTTAGATATTGTGCACGTTTTCATTGTCCGAACATCACGCTTTGTTTACATATAAATGTCACGTGATACATGCTTTTCATTGTGTAAAAGGTGTATTCATGCCAAATGTCCAAAACAGCGCCTTCTTTACATGTGGGCAGATTGTTGCAGCGAGTATCGCACAAGGAGGACCAGGACTGTGTTTTCTGGAGGAGTGTGTATATGATATGCTGGCTAACAGGGTGTTGACATGAATGCCTTGAGTGAAGAGAAGTATTTAGCTCCACACAAGCAGGATTTAATCGCAACTATTAGAGAAGATCCCAAAGCCCTTAGGGGATACAATCATGGAACATGGTTGTACAGGCATAATCAACATGCCTCATTTTGATGATATGGTAGGCACAGTGATGATTAGCATTATAAACAAGCGTTTATTGTACTTGAAAGAGTTTTGAAATGGCATGAAGCTTTATGACCTTGCCTACTTTCTTGACATCAAGCACCAATGTGTGCCAGGAACTGTTCATGATTGGACAAAATAAAGTAGCTGTGCAAATTTTGTTGTCTCCTGTATGAAGCCATGTTATCCCAAAAGAAGAAGTACTTGTCAACCTGTTGAAGAGATGCTGGTTGATAACTTTCAGAAGATGAAGATGAACACGTTGCTGTATATACCAAAGCTTTAGCTTGGGATGATGGTACTGAAAGCATTGGTAACCATGAGGATGACACAGCTGAAAGGAAAGTCATACAATCTGCTGATCTCACACCTGCAAGTGTTTTTAGGTGGATCACAGGCCCAAAACACATGCCGTTAAACAGAGATAAGATTAAAATGATCATGAACTTTCATCATGAATGCATATTTGAAACAAGAATCATTTAATCTGCTTTCCTGTTGTTGGAGCGTGTGGGGAAAACAATCACCCTATCAGTTGCTCACATGAGAGAGAGCAAACATTTTAAGAACGTTTTCCTGCTGGGATATATTTTGACCAGAAAACATGCTATCAACACAGGTTATTATATTTACTGTATGTTAAGTTGTTTACTATAAAGTTCTTTAATGCTGTCATCCTCTTTCCTAGATCTTAGTATTGATAGCAATTACCCATTGCAAAACCAGATTATAGTTATGGCAATGTTGCAGTGCCTTAAACATTACCCAGGCGAAAAATGTCATCAAGAGAGACATGAAAGTCACCAAAACACAAAAATAAGGCTGTATGGCTAAAGCTACTTTCTGGAAGGATATTAGTTAAATCACATCTTGACATTTTATGAGGACTTTTAAAACATTGTACATTCACGAAGATACATCATTGTTAGTCTTGTAATATTTTCAACTTTTGTTGGTTTGTTTTTAATTACATTTGAGAATCATGTAACACTGTCTATTACATTTTATGTAAAATTTGTGTAAAATTTTACTTTGATTGATTATCATTGTTCATGTTAAAAATTTTGCTTAGAAGAAGGTAGCTGATGTTTAATGTCATTTCGTGTTTAAATGAGTTTAAATCAATCATCAGTGACAGTGAGGAAGAAATACTTGTTTTTGTAATTAGTCATAATTCTGAAAAAGGAACTACTTTCTGGTAAAACTAAAATCTACATAGTCTCAAAGTACAAAAGAAAGGTCAACTTTGTTTGCAATCCTTTACAATATCCTTTTTACCTGTATAATATATCACATGCAAAAGGTGTTTAAAAATAATATTATATCTTAACTGTAAATCATCCAATCAGAAAGCTCGATTTGTACCACATGAGCAGTAAATTCCATCTAATTTTTTCACATTATGCTATAAAAGTCGAATACCCCGCTGCAGCGGGTATTCGAAGTCAAATACCCTGTTTGTGTGTACCACGCGTCGATGCCTCGCACACAACTTGTCAACAATTTCAAAATGGAGGCAAAAGAAGCCATTTCACCCAGCTTTTGCGCTGCCTACACATTGTTTCGATATAATATATAATTTATAGACCTTCCGCTCAGGCAATTTGACGAAGTATTACCCCCTCAAAAAGATATATCCCTCGGGCAAAGCCCTTGGGATATATCTTCCCTTGGGGGTAATATTTCGTCGAATTCCCCTCGCTCCAGGTCTATAAATGATAAATGTCAATGATTGCCATTGTTTGCACATTGCTTTGGAACATTGTAAAGTTGAAGAGCCTCTCTCCAGGTGGCACAATGCCCACTGCACTAACTATTGTACAGTTGTTCTGAAAAGAAATCTGGAGACAGCAGTCGATTTATATGTTTCTTGTGTGGATGGTGCCCCTTGTGCTTCAACCCAAATTCATTTAATGAAAGGAGTTGATAGCACTGTTTCCCAGGACGAAAATGAACTTTTGAAAGTTTTTTTGAAAGGTAAAAAGAAGGAAAAGGAAGCCTTGAAACGAAATAATCCCAGTATGTATTCAAAGTTCAAAATTATTTGACACTTCGTAAAAAGCATCTACGCCACGAAATCGTCTACTGCCTGCCAAATATGTCTTCTATCTTTCCTGCTGTCATGAAAAATCTTGTGTCCAGGAAATATGTAAGAAAGAAAAACTTGCAAAAGAATTAACCTGGTATCCTAATGGGACACCAATACCATATTTTCCAATTCCGATACCATATTTAAAAAGTACAAATCAATTCCACCTATAGAGGTGATCCAAGATACCGCAAAAAAAGTGTTGCTAAGTTTAGATGAAACAAGACGCCTGTTCTGGCGTTAACTCCGGCGCACGTGCCAGTCTTTAATATAGAGCTTCTGAACATAAACAATACAGTTCATATTCGCATTTAGATGCCTTGCGAACCTAAATGTTCGATCGCGAAATTCAGAAGCACATCGTACTTTAAAAAGTATAGAAGTTCAATTGTTCAAAAATGTAAATAAACGGCATGATACATTCGTTTTGTCTTACACTTTGCCTTTGGAATTCGCGCTTATATAGTTATATTAAATCTTCAATCCTGTGCAAACTACGACGAGTCAAAGCGCCCATACACGACCACATCATCTTGTTAAACGGCGAAATAGAAGCGATATTACCAAAATAGGACCAGAATTTACATGTATTAAAAATATTCTTACCCCAATTCAATCTAAACTTAATCGAAAAGCATGAAAAGAACGGTTTATTTGTTCCTCTTGGAGGAATTGCCATATCATGCGAGCGAAATCGAATCGTGCATCGGAAAATTAGCTAAAGCTGTGCACCACAACTCTTGGGAGACAAGACTGGGACATAGATAAATCCAATCACATACACATTTAAAAACTAGTATATTTCGCGCCATTTCAGACTTGCGACGACGAAAAATAATAAAAAAATAAAAAAAACAAAAAAACAAAACCGAGGCGAATTTTCAACTCCTTCGCTGACGCCGGAGTAACTAGAATGTAGTTTGAGCACTTAAGTCAAATAGCAGCAAACAGAGCGAAGGGTGCCAATAAAGGAGCTGAGACAAGAAAGAAAAAAGACATGGGTACGAAAAAGAACATTGGTAATGTTGCCACATCCAGTACTCCATCAAGACAAGCAACTGAAAATGCAGATGGTGATGATGATGTTTGTCTTATCTGCGAAATGCATGATCCACCATTCTCGGATGCAGCTGGGAATGATGAGGATGATCATCTTTGGGTCAGCTGTGATGGATGTACATTGTGGTGCCACACGGTCTGCAGTGGCATAGCTACTATAAATGAGGTTCCTAGTTATTGGCTTTGCATAAACTGCACAGAAATTTGGTAACTTTTCATGAATTGAATTGGTATTGGACAATTTAAGATTGGTATAATATTAATGTTAAAAGTAGGCAGAAAATAAAAGCTATATAAAGTTGAAATTGGGTGTTTGAACTAGTGGAGATAAGAGTGACAATAAATTAAGATATAGTTATGCAAGTCATCCAAGGTTTTCATATTGGGCTTTGAATATGTTGTAAAGAAAACATGCCTTACAACAAAATAGTATTTTTCTTAAGCAAAATCCTTGAGAAGCACACCTAACTATTGAGAAATTGCGTGAAATGGCTGTTAATACTAACTCGGAAGAGTTCATGTCTAAACTATCTAGATATATAGGTAACATTACTGGAAGTTCAGCATACACCATTAAGGTCAGAGAAGATTTGAAAGCAATAATTGAACATCACTCAGTCCCAACCATTTTTTTTCACATTTTCTTCAGCTAATATGCATTGGCTAGAACTGCATGAACTGTTTCACAAAAACACAAATGAGTGAATCAATGATGACAGGAGGCAAAGTGTTATTGATAATCTACATATACTCTTCATGCCACAAGGCCTTGGTATCAATATAAATTTCAAGCTTGAGGAAGTATCCACTGCCACTGTACTGCTAAACTTGAAGGTGACCCAGGTCTATGCAAGGTGTCCAAAAAGTAGAGTGGCCCCTAATAAAATTTGTGATTATGTAGACTCAATATTAACAACTGTTAACCCACAACTACCTGACGATACGAAGATATTCCAGACAATAAGTTAGATGGCGATTACATTGACTTGCTAAACACATTACAAAGACACACACATTGTAATACTAATTGCTGTCTGCGACGTAAGCAAAATGAATCTGATTTAACTTGTCGTTTTAAGACAAAGCTAGAATTTTTTCCAGCACATACAAAAGATAATACGAAAATTAGTTATAAAGCTATAATAGTTACAAAAAGGAACGATTCCAGACTAAATAACCAACAACGTATTCAGCTGCAAGGATGGAAAGCTAATTGTTATATTCAAGTTGTAATTGACTATCATGCTTGCGTTGAGTATTTTGCGAAATATGCTAGGAAAAGTGAACAAAAATCTCCAATGTTACATGATGTTCTTAACTCGATAATGAAAAATATTGATAGTTTAAGTGATCCTCAAAAAGCTATTAAAAGTGTAATGATGAAAACGTTAGGAG